ATTGCTAAATACATTACTGTGCTGTGACTCTTGGACATGTGGGGAGACCTAGGATAATGGGTTCGAATCCAGGTTTGCCCTGATTATGTTTCTAGGTTTGTCAGCACCATACTCATGCTCGTGGGTTTCACCAAAGTGGTAAACGTCTGAGACCTGCATCACTTCGGGCTTTCCTCCCACATCAAGCGGACATACTGTTCAAAGCGGCGTTAAACCCAACTCACTCACAAATGTATTATACCCACAATGAATTATGCCTATTACTGCATTATGCATATTACGGCATTAAGTGTATTACTGCATTATGTAATTTACTGCATTATGAATATTACTGCACTAGTGTATTACTGCATTATGAATATTACTGCACTAGTGTATTACTGCATTATGCCTATTACTGCATTAAGCGTATTACTGCATTATGTATATTACTGTATTATGCATATTAATGCATTAAGCCTATCATTGCATTATGCATATTACGGCATTATGCATATTACTGCATTATGTATATTACTGTATTATGCATATTAATGCATTAAGCCTATCATTGCATTATGCATATTACGGCATTATGCATATTACTGCATTAAGTGTATTACTGCATTATGTAATTTACTGCATTATGAATATTATTGCATTAAGTGTATTACTGCATTATGCCTATTACTGCATTAAGCATATTACTGCATTATGTATATTACTGTATTATGCATATTAATGCATTAAGCCTATCATTGCATTATGCATATTACGGCATTATGCATATTACTGCATTATGTATATTACTGTATTATGCATATTAATGCATTAAGCCTATCATTGCATTATGCATATTACGGCATTATGCATATTACTGTATTAAGTGTATTACTGCATTATGTATATTACTGCATTATGTATATTACTGCATTATGAATATTATTGCATCAAGTGTATTACTGCCTTATGTGTATTACTGCATTATGCATATTACTGCATTATGTATATTACTGCATTAAGTGTATTACTGCATTATGAATATTACTGCACTAGTGTTTTACTGCATTATGCCTATTACTGCATTAAGCGTATTAATGCATTATGTATATTACTGTATTATGCATATTAATGCATTAAGCCTATCATTGCATTATGCATATTACGGCATTATGCATATTACTGCATTAAGTGTATTACTGCATTATGAATATTACTGCACTAGTGTTTTACTGCATTATGCCTATTACTGCATTAAGCGTATTAATGCATTATGTATATTACTGTATTATGCATATTAATGCATTAAGCCTATCATTGCATTATGCATATGACGGCATTATGCATATTACTGCATTATGTATATTACTGTATTATGCATATTAATGCATTAAGCCTATCATTGCATTATGCATATTACGGCATTATGCATATTACTGTATTAAGTGTATTACTGCATTATGAATATTATTGCATCAAGTGTATTACTGCATTATGTATATTACTGCATTATGAATATTATTGCATCAAGTGTATTACTGCATAATGTGTATTACTGCATTATGCATATTACTGCATTATGCATATTACTGCATTATGTATATTACTGCATTATGCATATTACTGCATTATGCCTATCACTGCATTATACCTTTTACTGCATTAAGTGTATTACTGCATTATGTATATAACTGCATTATGCATATTACGGCATTATGTGTATTACTGCATTATGTGTATTACTGCATAATGTGTATTACTGCATAATGCGTATTACTGCAAACACTGCATTATGTGTATTACTGCATTATGTGTACTACTGCATAATGCGTATTACTGCAAACACTGCATTATGTGTACTACTGCATTATGCGTATTACTGCAAACACTGCATTATGTGTACTACTGCATTATGCGTATTACGCTAACCCCCTCGTTTATCCAGTGTATTACTTGTATATGATAAATCCCCTGGACTCATTCGCCACCACCGCTTCACTTTATGTCACCAGCCACTTCGCCTTGAACTCTCACTGTGCAATGCATTCCTCTTGCTTAGGAGAGTATTGATGGCCATTTTCATCATAGCGCCAAACACCTTGGGCTCAAAACTAACCTATGTTGGCAAATTTGTCAAAGGTATTCATCATAATCTGACCACGTGTTGAATGGATTGCATCTGATTTCATCAAAGACCAGCTATTGACAACTGTCAGTGCGTGAGTTTGGTTTAACGTTGCTAATTTGGACAGTATTTCAGTTATATGACGGCATCAGTTTGATGTGAGAGCAAATCCCAAAGTGATGCAGATCTTAGCTGTTTAACACTGTATTGAAACCCACGAGCACGGATATGGTACATGTACTGACAAACCTAGAAACATAATCTGTAATTTGTACCCATGATCATGGCCTCTGCCATCTCTAAGGGACACAACTCTGCACAGCGAATCGTGGCACCTTCAATCACTTCACCACCGTCTCCCCTGACAACTGTGAGTATTGTATCATGATACACAGGCCACAACATGTAGAGATATACTTTTTTATACAATTTTGCATCATGTTCCAAGAATAAACCCATGGCAACTACAGTAAACCACAGTTATAACGAACCACTGTGACCACTAATTTTAGCTCGTTATATCAGTCATTTGTTACACGCATTTCGACCGTCAGACATCTTTTTAAGCCAATTGACATCATGTTACTCGATAAATAACAAAAGTATGCACTGTCCATGTACAGAAGATATCCACTTCAATCACTGTTTGAGGACAAGGTGTCATTATTCACGAGTAAATCAGTTGCCTTTAATTGATTATTGCCGCTTTGAAGAGCCGCGCTTGGCCGCGGATGTTTTGAAAGGCAGACTGTCGACACGTGAGGAGCTCAGCTCAGAGATTAACAGTTCGTTATACAGGTAAACATTATCGTTGACAGAGTACACATGAGACCACAAGGTGAGTTCACTATATGCATTATTTCGTTATAAGTGTGTTCGTTATAGCCATCAACTTTACATGATAAAAAATATATATCAAATGGCCGGGATCAAAAACATGTTCGTTATAAACATAGTTTATTGTAGTTTGTGTTTACCTGGGATTTTTCTGATAGTTTTACGTATCGTAATCAGATGCTACACTAATCCAAGTAGTTACCAGCCAGGGTTAATGTAAAACATGGTAAATATTGCATTTTAAATATAGATAAAATATATAACACAAATAGAACCCTGGGTAGGAATATTGTGCAACATAGTGTCAGGCCTAAATCTGTGTTGCATCAGTGAATAGTGACACTCTTAACAAATAGATAAACAAGCGTATAGTCGACGAAGTAACACGTTATGGTCCCAAACCAGGTAACTGAACCAACATTTCTCTTAGGCCATGTCAAAATAACTGCAATGGAAATTCTAAACTAAACATTTATAAAACTCCTTAATATCAAATGGCAACAGTTCAGTAAGTGTTTTATATATAGACATGCAAATGTTTGACAAGGAAATATTTAACAGTTTTTGAGTTATGCTCCGGAAAACGAACAGCACCCTTATAGAACCTAAGTCCAACTTGTTGCCATGGAAACGTAAAACATAAAAATTTATAAAACTCCTAAATAGCAAAAGTCACCAGTTCAGTATGTGTCTGGTAAACATGCAAAGTTTTGTAAGAAATTATTTAACAGTTTTTGAGTTACGCTCCGGAAACGAACAGCATCCTTATAGAACCTAAGTCCAACTTGTTGCCATGGAAACATAAAAAATTAAAATTTATAAAATTTCTAAATAGCAAAAGGCACCAGTTCAGTATGTGCCTAGTAGACATGCAAAGTTTGGTAAGAAAGAATTTCATGGTTTTTGAGTTACGCTCCGGAAACGAACAGCACCCTTATAGAACCTAAGTCCAACTTGTTGCCATGGAAATGTAAAAAATAAAAATTAAAAATTTTTCTAAATAGCAAAAGGCACCAGTTCAGCATGAGTCTGAATCACATGCAAAGTTTTGTAGAGAAATATTTAACGGTTTCTGAGTTATGCTCCGGAAACGATTTCGGGACGCACGCACGCACACATGGACGGAACCAATTTCTATATCCCTGGCCAACTTCGTTGGGGCAGGGGGATAATATGAGCTTTCGTCCATTGATCACAACTCAGGACTCAAGTCTGATATAGAACATCAGTGATATGTACAGGGCCAACTTGCACAAAGCGATCTTAGCGCTAAGGTGATTGTACCTCTGACACTTTAACATAGGCTTACAATATTCGGAACGCTAAGATCGCTTTGTGCAAGTTGGCCCAGGACTGTGAAGTAGTCCACTAATCTAGTCAGTGCTGCCTGTTTACTGTGTGGACTGTCAATAAGTAGAGTGATACAGTTAAACATCTCAATTTCTTATACACGCCCATACTACAGAATTGTCCTTCCATCACTTGTCAATACAAACAGTGATATGTGGTGTAGTTGCTTTTTAAACTATTAATTTAAGCGACAACGGAAACCAGCCCACCACATGGGTACAATGTATGAACTCCGCCCCCCCCCCCCCCCCCCCCCCCCCCATAAAAAAGTAAAAAAATGTACTTGTTATTTTGTCAATTTTATGACACCGAACCGTATCGTGGTGCAGTAATTGATTTAAACTTTTTGTGAAATTGAAAAAAAATGAAAATGTGTTTTGTCTCACTAACATATGTTTCATTACATTCTGAAAATAATGGCTGAGAAAAAGCCATAAGTATGACCGTAGTGGCCATATTGATAACTGCATCAGAACCTCTTGAACAAACTGGGCTGCCGATATTGGTGGAACAAGCATATTGACACGGTCAGTTTCAGGTTCATCGGTGCACAGGTTTTCAAAGAAGATGTTTACAGACGACAGACAAGTGAGCAACATCAGTTCAATTGACCAAGGTCAGGGGGAGGTAAAATGTCTGGTGAGTCAAACTGTTTCCAAGAGCTGTAAATGTAAAAATATTAAAAAAGCTCAAAAAAATTAGCAAGATATGTATATAAAAAAGCACTTTAAAGCATGGTTACTCCTGGTTTTCCATATTCTGCATTCCATATTCTTCATATTCCTCTACACAATATACTAAATGGAATGCAGAACATCAACAATACTAAAATAGCACTTTAACCAGGGACCTATAAAATACTTTAACCAATATTAAGACATAATTTCTGATTTTTTAGCACAAGATGAAGGTTCAGTGTATTGTCAGTCTTTGTCCTCCAGAGGACCACACGCTTCAGTCTTCGTCCTCCAGAGAACCACACTCTTCACTCATTGGCGTTGAAGCCTCATTCGTCACAGTCACACCAACCTCAGAGAATGAGCTAGAGTCAGGAGCATCCCCCGTCAGCCCAGAATCACTTTCCTCATCATCATCACTTCCATGAGACACGGAACCATTCACGTTTACTTCAGAATCAACATTGTTTTCTACATTGACATCTGGGTCAAAATCTGATGCTTCTGGCTCAACACTGACCCTTTGTTGATTTCTTGATGGATGACCTGCAACATATCCACCTTTCTCATCATCTGCTTCTTCATCTTCACTGAAGATTTCATCAGAAGATGTCTGTGAGTCACCACAAACTGACTCATCATCTTCACTGTTCCTTCCTACATCCTCTCCATCCTTCTCACTGCCTCCAGCCCCATCAGACAGAGTATCCTCTTGCTCTTCAGATGACATTAGTCTTTCCATATTTGTGGATCTGGAATTTGCTCGACCTTCTGCATCTTCATCACAAGCTTCATTCTCATGTTCCACATCGTTTGCTTCATCTGTAGTTGGTGACTCCTCTTCATCAAGTACATCACTGTTGTCTCCAGGACTCACTTCCTCCCTTCCTTCCTCTGCTTCCTCCTGCAGCCTGTCTCCTTCATCATCTTCTTCATCAAGTCTGTATTCCTGATGAGAGATGGCAGTTGCAGCTATGTCATCCTTGTCATCTTCATCATTTGTTGCATCTTCAAAGGTATAAGTCCCCCGAGATCGGTTCCTCCGTTGGGAGTCTGCTTGTCCTACAAAAAGTGTTTTAGCACCATCAAATGCCCCAGTAAAGGCAAGTGTTGAAGGAACTCTCCTCTGAGTTCTGTCACCTTCAGGAGCATCACACTGGCTGTCACTTTCCCCTGCCATTGAGGGGAGGTCACATGCTTGCACAGAGTCATCATAAACAACATGGTCATCCCCATTGTAGGCAGCCCCTTCTACAACTGTCCTTGACCCTGACCTCTGATTTGACCTTGACCCTGAGTCATCTGGCCCAGGCTCCTCTACCCTGTCTTCTCTTCGCAATCGCAGATGGACTGGCATGGATAGATGTGTTTGTGGCAAATCGTTAAGAAGTGTGTCAAACCTCACAATCTGTCCATTGTATAGCAGAACATATTTACCAGTTATCTTTATCTGTAGAAAAATACAAAAATTAATTAGAGGAAAACTAATGACAAAAATACACATTACACGTACCAGGAAGCACAATACATGTGACCATGTATCTCTAACACTAGAGCGTACTACTCAACATTTGAAAGGGATACTGTTCTATGGCAGTGTAATTTTTTGTTGAACAATGACTTTAATTGTATTACATTGTTCTATTGAGATTCAGTTGATGTTCACTGGATTGTATTTGGACAATGATTAGTTGTCAGGAATGTAGTACTATTTAATGTGAGCTTTGTTTGTTGTTTTTTTTTTGCTTGTTGTTATACACCACACTCAGAAATATTCCAGCTATATGACGGTGGTAAATAATCAAGTCTTGACCAGACAGACCAGTGCTTGATATCATGAGCATCGACCCACGCAATTTAATGTAAACGGTGATGAGGAAGTCATAATATTCAGATGCTAAAATTATCTTCAAACTTCTGGAATAGCATGGATGGATGTCAAGCATTACAGAAACATGGAATATCCTGTGATGTTAAAGTGACACTGGACTGCTCAAGCACTGTGTGGAAAATGCTGAAAGTGAGTTTGACTTTATAAGTGGAGCGGGCATATTCTAGTTCATCTCACATTTCATCTGACATAACATCAAGACCAACTTTCATGTGAAGATCACTCACCACCCCGGATTCCCAGCCTAGTCCTATTGTGGAAGCTTGACCACTGTTGCGGGTAGGAGAATATTATTATCACTGAGCACCATTATGTTTTGTGGAACATTGTACTACCACTCTATTGCATACTGTCTGTAATTGCTGTGCAGTAATCTTTATTGATTTGTAAACCAAGTTAATTTTGTAATACATTTGTTGATTGTGTACCATTTCTTGGTTGTTCGTCGGTTTCACACTAAATTCTTTTACATACAGGTTTCTGGGATAACATATTGTTTCAATTTGGGAATTGACACATAACAATACAAACACACAGAATGTATGTACGTATGTTAATATTACTTTGGAAAGAAGCTGCTAATATGGCAATATGAAATACTATTGGCATGAAAACTTCCAGTAATCAATCCCAATCTTGACACTCCAAATATCCCTTCTAAATGTTGAGTAGTATATATGAACCAGCAAAATGAACAATAAATAAATTTTCAAAGAAATAATCGTTGTTGCTTAACATTTTCCTAGGAGTATATTATCAGTTTTCAATTTAGAAAGCAAACAAGAGGACAAAGTCATCTATAGCCCCCGCCCATTGTCCAATCTTCACAGACAATTAAATGTGACATTTTCAAGTTCTGCTCCGGGAATGATGCCCACTGCTTTCATTCAGTTCAGGGACTAAGTCCAAATTGATAAAGTTCATATAAAATAAAAGACATTTTGGGGAATGATAAATAACAAAAGGCACCTCAACACTATATGGTGTATGTGTGTAAAAGTTTCATAAAGATATCTCCAATAGTTTTTGAGTTCTGCTCCGGAAATGAAACCCACTGGTTCCATTCAGTTCAAATTTCAAAAATTTATATAAACTATGACAATAGGATAAAAGACACATCTACACCATATGGTGAATGTGTGTACCAAGTTTTATGGTTTCCGAGTTCTGCTCCAGAAACAAAACATGACAGATGGATGGACGGAGCCCGTTTCTGTATCCCCCGACCACTTCGTTGGGGCGGAGGATACCGGGTAATAAAGAAAATTTAATAAAATGCCAAAAATCCCTGAAAATACACTAAAGTCACCTCACCCTGTGACATCGAAATTTGCATAGTGTCATAGCATACTATTTCTCCACAATGAAACTGTATGACCTGTCCCGCGGAGATTCAGGGATAGAATTAGTCTTTAGCAACCCATGCTTGTCGTAAGAGGCGACCAAAGGGATTGGGTGGCATTCTTGGTTGATGCATGTCGTCGTTACCCAATTGCGTAGATCGATACTTAAGATGTTAATCACTGGATTGTCTGGACCAGACTCGATTATTTACAGTCCGCCTCAAAATAACTGTAAAATTATTGAGTGTGGCGTTAAACAACAAACAAACCAACACCTGTATGACCTCATTTGCTTCAATGGACCAATCAGCAAAAAGAATCTATAAAAAGTACAAGTGCAGTTAAATTAAGATGAACGTCAAACAGTCTGTGTCATCACCCAGATGTTGAAGGTTTGTTGGACCCAAGACTGAGTTAGTAAAGGAGAAAACTTCAAGCAAGCCAGGGTCTCCCTTAATTTCCAACACGTACAAATATTTGAAAGTCATCAGTCAAACCTGTGTGTAACATGTGCAGTGAAGAGTCTTACCTGCTCACTTAGTTGGCTATACACTCTGCGGGTCAACGTATTCCATGGCAAAGACAATGTCACTACCTCCACTCCATCTTCTTTCACGACAACTGTACAGAATTCTGTGAAAACAAGTAATAGTTTTCCGTTAATTTGATCACCTTCACCTGGGAGAGTGAACAACTATGGTTTTCAACAATACTGCAGCAATATCATTCCATGATTACGCCTGGCCAGCCCATAAGATTTCTGTTTCTCGAAAATGATTTAAAACAACCATTTCTGAATGTAAATAATATAGGCAAGGTAATAACCTTGTGGATACTTTATACACTCTGTCATTTTTTCGCACTATAGTCAGTGAGTTGGTTTTAACGCAGCTTTTAACAGTATTCTAGATATATCATGGCATGTCAGCTTAATGTGGGAGGAAAGCCCAAAGTAAGGCAGGTATCAGATGTTTACCACTTCGGTGAAACCCACAAGCACGGGTATGGTGCTGATAAACCTAGAAACATAATCGGGGCAAACTGGGATTCAAACCCACAATCATAGGTTTCTGGTGTGCCCAAGGGGCACAACTCTGCACAGTGAATCACGCCACCTGAGACGACTGGGGAACAGGTGCCCCCTTTTCGAACTATAGAATCTAAATCTAAAAGGGTCCTGTGTTGGTTTTCTTTTGTAAAAAATCAAAATGTCCAAACTGAGGAGGACTGAAATAATGTTGAATTAATGAAAGTCCTTAATTTCTTCCTGTTTTGGTATTCATCTGCTTTAATACAATTACAATTGAGTCAAGATCTTCTTTTGAATCATCGGCAGCCTCAGAACTTGTAGAATGTTTTGTAGCAGAAGAAGTCAGTATTGATCATGTGTCAGGTCAATAAAGATCATGTGACGAGTCAGTATTCGAGTTCAGCATCAGTCACATGATGAAATCGTTACAGGTCATTTATCGATTCTTAGGTCAGTATTGATATTAAGTGTTTTGTCACATGATATGGACTAAGCAATGATATTGGTCGATTCTTCATGGAGGTATGACAATTTGATAGAAAGTGGTTCACGTTTTCAGACTTTGGCTTGCCTGGTCCAGAGTGAGTGAGTATGGTTTAACCCCTCTTTTAGCAATATTCCAGCGATATCACGGCGGGGGACATCTTAAATGGGCTTCACATATTGTACCCATGTCGGGAATCAAACCCGGGTCATCGGCGTGACCAACGAACACTTTAACCACTAGGCTACCCGACCGCTCCTGCCTGGTCCAGATCGGGCTGATGTGAAAAATGTCACAGATGGCTGATATCAGCGACAAACACCATTCACACACTTTCAGAGTGCCTGGTCAGAGCTTGGTGTACATATTGTTGAGTAAATGTAATTTCACTTACCATTTGATGTGCTTGTGAACTGACCGCTATCATTTTGAGAATTGCCACGGTCATATTTCCTCACGGCAGTGGTTTCTTGCTCCTCGGTGACCTCACTCACTTCACAAGCTGAGGACAGAATCTCTTCACTGGGAATATTGAGGTTAGGCTGCTGTGGATACACTGCTATCAATCTTCTTGTAATGTCAGCCATGGTCGGAGGAGAAGGTTGAAAGTAGGAGTTTTTCCACCGTGGCCCTGAAACAGAAGTATTCTATGTACAAACACACGACTCAAGGGGGTGAAGGTAGAAAATTATAATGTAACACAAACAATGGCAATGAATTTAAGATTTTAAAATCTGACATTCACATAAAGTTTAATAGTTGTAGATATGACATAATGGCCTTGGCCTTTGACTTATCTTGACCAAAATCCTTTCAAAGAAGGGCCCAATCCTTGTACATGGCAAGTGTAACTTGAAAGGCGTTTGCATTAAATGCAAAAACAGAAGACCCATTTGCACCAATTCGAATCAGAAACATGTTTCATGAACCAGTTTAACTGTACCCATCATGTGACAGTTGCTCTCACACATGTCCCAAAACAGAAATCCTATGCCAGTCGCTACCTTATTAACAAAATTAAAAATATAGATAATATATCCTGAATAAAACTAGCCATTTCATGAGAGGATGACCTTCAAAAGTGACAGACAGGATGACATGGGACAGTTATTGAGGTAATTATCCATCATAAATGAATTGAATCAATCCTAAATTTGTACTAATTTGATCTCTAGTGATCTTGACCTTTTACGGAGGTCACTCACAATCAAGACCATGCCTGAGGGGTCGTGTATACTACATTTCATAAAATTCCTTTCATAAATGCTCACGTTATGAAGTTCACATACACATTTTTATCAAGCACACATACCCGGTATTAAGTGACCTTGGCCATCAATGTCATCGAATCATAGCTCATAAAAGATTCCCAGGGACATATAGAAGGCATAGATGGCATCTCCAATATCTATCATAAGTGCATGGTTCAGAAAACCAATGATGACAATGGTTAAGCTCAACTTTGAGCCAACACATTACAGAATCCATGAAAGAATACTTGGTTTGTTTTTTGTTTAACACGATACTCAACAATATTCGAGCTATAGGAGAGAGACAAACCAGCGACAGATAACACTCATGAACCATGGCTCACGCCATCAGGGTATGGTGACACACAGTCAACCAAGGGACCAACTCTGACCACCCAATCCACAAATTGGCTTTAGACCACACTTTGTTAATTTTATGTTTTACAGATTTGTCCAACTTTTCCACACAATGTCAGTTGAAACAAAAATAAAAGTAAATACCTATGTCAATCATTTATATATTTCTATGAAATCATTCTGCCATGAAGTGCAAAACTGTAACTGCCTACTTGAAAAACATGTATACATGGAATTCATATAGAACATCATATATTGAATAAGAGAGGCTATATTACTCGTGGGAGACATAACAAAAATAAATATTTTTATGATTAGTTTCTATCTTGGACAAGCTGCTTTTCTGTAGGGGCAGCGGGCCCAAGAAACGGAACATGAAATCTCACATGGACCTTCAGTTTTGATACCTTCAGTTTTAAGGTACATCCCTTCGACTGATTAGGAGTAAAAGTTAAATGTTTATTGTTGGTGACTTTGGATCTGGTGAGCAAACAAAATATTATCAAGAAATTTAATGTGGCCTTATGCAGCGTCACTTGAGATCCGTACGTACTTCTCCCTGTATTCCAGAAATAAGTTGGCAGAATTTCCCCTTCTGAGCGAATCATGGCTTTGAGAAGGCGTAAGAGACAGTTGCCAAGGCCAAGGCCAAGGTCGTCTACAGGTGGCGGGTAAAGACCTTGGCCAATCTGAAATATCATCAACATTGAAATGAGTGTCACTTGACGAAAATAGATTTGGACAAAACATTATGTCATAAAACAAGAATTATACAAGCAGCTTCTTCCTAAGGCTGGCAATTGCTGAGATGAGGTTTACAGTGCAAGGAGAAGAATTTTCGGAGAAGTTAGAAGTGAAAGGTGCAATGGTCAAAGCAAAGTTCAAACTACGAAATATTGCAAAAAGAGGAACACATGTGTTTTGTCCCACCACTAATTTCTGTTACGTGGTAGTAGATTACTAGTGGTTGTAATATAGCCAGCTTATAGTTGAGTCAGATTTTAGTGGTCTGTATGCCTCTGGAACCAGTGATTTAGAGCTACTTCCCTTTGTTTCAATGAACAACATGATCTGAAATTTTGTGTTGTGGTGGTTTCTGGGGGGCTGGCTTTACCTAAGGGCAAGATGAAGGCAATTGGAGGCCTAACTTGCATCCTATCTGCTTGCTCAGTGTGGATGGGATATCTATTTAAAAATAGTGACTTCCTGCCAGTTCTGAACAAATGGGGTGGGGTGAGGGGTAGGATAGCCTAGTGGTAGCCGTGATATTGCTGGAATATTGCTAGGAGCAGCATAAAACCAAACTCACTCACTCACTCTGAACAAATGATTTCTTGGTTTACCCCCTCGTTTCAATAAGAAAATCACCTCACCACACTTCAAATATTAGGGCAGGCAAAAAATATCGATAATCAGAATTATCATCGATGGGAAGAAATAATAACGTTTATCGATTTGGAAACTGTGTCATCGATAAAATCATACATAAACTTTTGTGATGAAATATAGTTTAGATTTACCAAAACAGACATGTTATTGCCAATCATGTTAATTGCTGAAGATGGAAAGTAACTGTTCTTGTTATATCTCAAATGTCTACAAAGTAATCCCTGAATAAATGTGCCACCACTCACCAGTGAAGTGTAAAAGGTTGATTTCTTTAGGATTTGTTTGGATATTTGCTCAACAATACTTCTGTTATTTATCGATAATTGATCGATATTTAGTTAACAATTATCGATCTCTATGATCTGTATCATTAGCCAGCTCTATGTCAAAAAAGGCAAATTTTATAACAGTTTGAATACAATGGTTATAAATATGGTGGAAGCAAATGTGAACTTACATTTGTCACTAAACCTTTCATATCAATGTTTTCAATTCCTAGTTAACGGGTCCACCTCCGTGGTCTAGTCATAAAGTCTAGTACTTGTTGATACCCTGCCTGGTGCTCGGCATTTAGGGGCTAAAACAAGAACTGGTCGGCACGGAGATAGTGTACTGTGTCTGAGAGAATATTCATATTAAACTGCGGCATGGTATCTCAGTGGGCTAGCACTATAAATTGGTATTAGTCCAGACTAGTACAAGCAGACATACATATACACACAGACACACGTGTATGCACGTCGCTATGTAAGTGCAATAATCTTGAACGCGACACTCAATTCCATTTCACCTCACCTCACCTCACCTCACCTCACCTCACCTCACCTCACCTGGTTGAAGGTCAGACATACATAACTGGACAACAGGCAATACACAATGTCAAAAGCTCACTTGGACCTAAGAATTAACAAATCTTTTCAAGCATACTGAAAATGGAAATTTGTCATGGTTTTACCTACCCTGAACAAATAATTCTGTCTGGTCCTCTGTGTTCCATTGACCTCAAAGAAGGGAATTCTTCTTGTCAGTGCACTGATCATAATGCACGCTGAACTGTACTGGTCCACACTACCTGTATGGTCTGTGAACAGGGAAGGAAATAGACATCAAGACTCTTTCATTTTTAGGAAATGAAAAAATCTACATACATATACTCTCATAACGACTGATTTGGGACAACCATTGTCTGAAGAACATTTGATTCCAAAGGCTAATTACCCTGTAGCCATGACATGTGTATGTCTCCATACGCTAATCCCCATTGTTAATCCTCACCAACATTTCACTGCATATTGCTGTCAGCCAACCTGGGCTACTGTATCACGTCCCGTTAATTACTGTTATTTATAGTATGACATTTATTGCTTTAATTGTTCATCCCCCCAACCCCATTAGTCCCTGTCCAGAGCAACGTCTTTGTCTGTCCATTGTTGTTCATTACTATGTATGTGTTGTCATTACACTGTTAGTCAGCTTGGTATTCCAAGGGCTGGTGTAAGGGCGATCTCGAGCAGGATGCGCCGCTTGTAGGAAACGTCCCGAGGATGAGCTAGAGGACCGCCCACCTCATGTATGCCTGAGCTGGAAAGTGAGCTCATCACTGTGTTTGTGTTGTCACAGCAGGTATTTGTGTATTTGTTGTTTGTTGTTTATATGTTGTGCATAATAAATTCTGGGACAGTGATGCCGATTTTGTCCTTGATTAAAGCTCTGGGTCTATGACTTTAAACTGCTAGTTTTTAGATGAAAAGATTACATGACAATCAATCCACAACTGTGCGTAAGACAAATATGCTTCCATACTGCCGGGAAATGCAAAGAATATTGCATTAATAAAATCAAGATATAGTGCCAACAGTGTTTAAAATACCCACTTGCCCGACATTCCGAGACGATCAATTTTGGTGATGGATGGTCAGTTTGTAAAAGTTGCACACCCGATGGTCGGGTGTTTAATAAGGTTACGAAGTTGACAATTAAACAGTTTACAGTTATTTTCTGAGAACTAACATTAAACAGTACTGTTCTTATGTTTACCCTTTTGTTATTTTTGTTTGTTAGTCCAGAAATTCTGGACTGGTGACATTTTATCTGGTCTAGTGACTTTGCAATGTTGCCAGTATCTGGTCTAGTAGCCTTGCAATGTTGCCAGTATCTGGTCTAGTAACTTTGCAATGTTGCCAGTATCTGGTCTAGTAACTTTGTAATGTTGCCAGTATCTGGTCTAGTAACTTTGTAAAGTTGCCAGTATCTGGTCTAGTAACTTTGTAATGTTGCAAGTATCTGGTCTAGTAACTTTGCAATGCTGCCAGTATCTGGTCTAGTAACTTTGTAATGTTGCCAGTATCTGGTCTAGTAACCTTGCAATGTTGCCAGTATCTGGTCTAGTAACTTTGTAATGTTGCCAGTATCTGGTCTAGTAACTTTGCAATGCTGCCAGTATCTGGTCTAGTAACTTTGTAATGTTGCCAGTATCTGGTCTAGTGACCTTGAAGTGTTGCCAGTATCTGGTCTAGTGACCTTGAAGTGTTGTCAGTATCTGGTCTAGTAACTTTGCAAAGTTGCCAGTATCTGGTCTAGTAACTTTGCAATGTTGCCAGTATCTGGTCTAGTGACCTTGAAGTGTTGTCAGTATCTGGTCTAGTAACTTTGCAATGTTGCCAGTATCTGGTCTAGTGACCTTGAAGTGTTGCCAGTATCTGGTCTAGTGACCTTGAAGTGTTGTCAGTATCTGGTCTAGTAACTTTGCAATGTTGCCAGTATCTGGTCTAGTGACCTTGAAGTGTTGTCAGTATCTGGTCTAGTAACTTTGCAATGTTGCCAGTATCTGGTCTAGTGACCTTGAAGTGTTGCCAGTATCTGGTCTAGTGACCTTGAAGTGTTGTCAGTATCTGGTCTAGTAACTTTGCAAAGTTGCCAGTATCTGGTCTAGTAACTTTGCAATGTTGCCAGTATCTGGTCTAGTGACCTTGAAGTGTTGTCAGTATCTGGTCTAGTAACTTTGCAAAGTTGCCAGTATCTGGTCTAGTGACCTTGAAGTGTTGCCAGTATCTGGTCTAGTGACTTTGAAGTGTTGTCAGTATCTGGTCTAGTAACTTTGCAAAGTTGCCAGTATCTGGTCTAGTAACTTTGCAATGTTGCCAGTATCTGGTCTAGTGACCTTGAAGTGTTGTCAGTATCTGGTCTAGTAACTTTGCAATGTTGCCAGTATCTGGTCTAGTGACCTTGAAGTGTTGCCAGTATCTGGTCTAGTGACCTTGAAGTGTTGTCAGTATCTGGTCTAGTAACTTTGCAAAGTTGCCAGTATCTGGTCTAGTAACATTGCAATGTTGCCAGTATCTGGTCTAGTGACCTTGAAGTGTTGTCAGTATCTGGTCTAGTAACTTTGCAAAGTTGCCAGTATCTGGTCTAGTAACATTGCAATGTTGCCAGTATCTGGTCTAGTGACCTTGAAGTGTTGTCAGTATCTGGTCTAGTAACTTTGCAAAGTTGCCAGTATCTGGTCTAGTAACTTTGCAATGTTGCCAGTATCTGGTCAAGTAACTTTGTAATGTTGCCAGTATCTGGTCAAGTAACCTTGCAATGTTGCCAGTATCTGGTCAAGTAACTTTGCAATGCTGCCAGTATCTGGTCTAGTAACTTTGCAATGTTGCCAGTATCTGGTCTAGTAACTTTGTAATGTTGCCAGTATCTGGTCTACTAACTTTGTAATGTTGCCAGTATCTGGTCTAGTAACTTTGTAATGTTGCCAGTATCTGGTCTAGTAGCCTTGCAATGTTGCCAGTGTATGGTCTAGTAACTTTGCAATGTTGCCAGTATCTGGTCAAGTAACTTTGCAATGTTGCCAGTATCTGGTCTAGTAACTTTGCAATGTTGCCAGTATCTGGTCAAGTAACTTTGCAATGTTGCCAGTATCTGGTCAAGTAACTTTGCAATGCTGCCAGTATCTGGTCTAGTAACTTTGCAATGTTGCCAGTATCTGGTCTAGTAACTTTGTAATGTTGCCAGTATCTGGTCTACTAACTTTGTAATGTTGCCAGTATCTGGTCTAGTAGCCTTGCAATGTTGCCAGTATCTGGTCTAGTAGCCTTGCAATGTTGCCAGTATCTCGTCCAGTAACTTTGTAATGTTGCCAGTATCTGGTCTAGTGACTTTGTAATGTTACCAGTATATGGTCTAGTAACTTTGTAATGTTGCCAGTATCTGGTCTAGTAACTTTGCAATGTTGCCAGTATCTGGTCTAGTAGCCTTGCAGTGTTGCCAGTATCTGTTCTAGTAGCCTAGTAGCCTTGCAATGTTGCCAGTATCTGGTCTAGTAGCATTGCAGTGTTGCCAGTATCTGGTCAAGTTACCTTGCAATGTTGCCAGTATCTAGTCTAGTAGCCTTGCAATGTTGCCAGCATCTGGTCTAGTAGCCTTGCAATGTTGCCAGTATCTGGTCTAGTATCTTTGTAATGTTGCCAGTATCTGGTCTAGTAGCTTTGTAATGTTGCCAGTATCTGGTCTAGTAGCCTTGCAATGTTGCCAGTAACTGGTCTAGTAACTTTGTAATGTTGCCAGTATCTGGCCTAGTAGCTTTGTAATGTTGCCAGTATCTGGTCTAGTAGCCTTGCAATGTTGCCAGTAACTGGTCTAGTAACTTTGTAATGTTGCCAGTATCTGGCCTAGAAGCTTTGTAATGTTGCCAGTATCTTGTCTAGTAGCTTTGTAATGTTGCCAGTATCTGGTCTAGTAACCTTGCAATGTTGCCAGTATCTGGTCTAGTAACTTTGTAATGTTGCCAGTATCTGGTCTAGTAGCCTTGCAGTGTTACCAGTATCTGGTCTAGTAACTTTGTAATGTTGCAAGTATCTGGTCTAGTAGCCTTGTAATGTTGCCAGTATCTGGTCTAGTAACTTTGTAATGTTGCCAGTATCTGGTCTAGTAGCCTTGCAGTGTTGCCAGTATCTGGTCTAGTAACTTTGTATTGTTGCAAGTATCTGGTCTAGTGACTTTGCAATGTTGCCGTTATCTGGTCTAGTAACTTTGTAATGTTTCCAGTATCTGATCTAGTAACTTCGTAATGTTGCCAGTATCTGGTCTAGTGACCTTGCAGTGTTGTCAGTTTCTAGTCTAGTAACTTTGCAATGTTGCCAGTATCTGGTCTAGTAGCCTTGCAATGTTGCCAGTATCTGGTCTATTAACCTTGCAATGTTGCCAGTATCTGGCCTAGAAGCTTTGTAATGTTGCCAGTATCTTGTCTAGTAGCTTTGTAATGTTGCCAGTATCTGGTCTAGTGACTTTGTAATGTTACCAGTATATGGTCTAGTAACTTTGTAATGTTGCCAGTATCTGGTCTAGTAACCTTGCAATGTTGCCAGTATCTGGTCTAGTAACTTTGTAATGTTGCCAGTATCTGGTCTAGTAACTTTGTAATGTTGCCAGTATCTGGTCTAGTAACTTTGCAATGTTGCCAGTATCTGGTCTAGTAACTTTGTAATGTTGCCAGTATCTGGTCTAGTAACTTTGCAATGTTGCCAGTATCTGGTCTAGTTGCCTTGCAATGTTGCCAGTATCTGGTCTATTAACCTTGCAATGTTGCCAGCATCTGGTCTAGTAGCCTTGCAGTGTTGCCAGTATCTCGCCTAGTAACTTTGCAATGTTGCCAGTATCTGCTCTAGTAGCCTTGCAGTGTTGCCAGTATCTGTTCTAGTGACATTGCAATGTTGCCAGTATCTGGTCTAGGAACTTTGTAATGTTGCCAGTATCTGGTCTAGTAGCCTTGCAATGTTGCCAGTATCTGGTCTAATAGCCTTGCAATGTTGCCAGTATCTGGTCTAGTAACTTTGTAATGTTGCCAGTATCTGGTCTAGTAATTTTGCAATGTTGCCAGTATCTGGTCTAGTAGCCTTGCAGTGTTGCCAGTATCTGGTCAAGTAGCCTTGCAATGTTACCAGTATCTGGTCTAGTAGCCAAGTAGCCTAGCAATGTTGCCAGTATCTGGTCTAGTAGCCTTGCAGTGCTGCCAGTATCTGGTCAAGTAACCTTGTAATGTTGCAAGTATCTGGTCTAGTAACTTTGTAATGTTGCAAGTATCTGGTC